CTGTGGTAAGAAATTTTGATTTGCATGTCTCGATGATTAATGATACTGAGCAATGCTTTCATATACCTGTTGGTCATTCATTCATGTATGTCTGTTTTTTTTAGAAATATGTATTCAAATCCTTTGCCCATTTCTAAATCAGGTTACTAGCTTTTTTGCTTTTTTTTACTACTGAGTTGTAGGAGGTCCTTATATATTTTGGAGATTTACCCCTTATCAGATATATGATTTACAAATATTTTCTCCCAGTCTGTAGGTTGCCTTTTCACTCTGTTGAGTGTTGTCTTTACAGAGCTTTTTAGTTTGATGTAGTCCCTGAAAAATTTGCACTTATTAATGCTTATTAATGTCTTCATATTCTCAGCTCAGCCCAATACAAATGATTTCTTACTCTGTACTCGAAGACTGTACCTAGATTGTTCCACAATGATCACTACAGACTGCTAATTGCCAAAACCAATGACTTCTCAGCATCCTTCTGGAGTACCTCCTTCTCCTTAAAACACTCTCCTGTGGAGACATTCTTTTTTGACTTTCCTCTCACCCTATGGGCACTCCTCCTTCATCTCTTTCTGCCTATAATTTAAATGTAGATGATCCCAAGATTCTGTCAACATCTCCCTTCCTACTCTGTGCTCCTAGTTGGTATGCATGCTTTCTTTTTGCTTCAACCGCAGCTTGCGAGCCAACAGTCCCCAGATCTGTATAACACTGCTTCTGACCTCTTGCTCCTGAATGAAAAGTCTGTGTTTCTAACTCTTCCAAAGCATCTTCTGGGTATCTTATAAATCCCTCAAAATTCAGCATACTCAGAGGTAGACTACCCTTTTCTCACACTCTGTCAAATTTGACACCTTCCTTTTCCTCATCATTTACATTGTCATTAAGTTCTGCCGATTCTAACTCTAAAATGTCTTTCTGACACAATCCCTGTTCCCTACTTTCACTACCACTACCCTCATTTATGCCCTCAAAGTTCTTTATCAGGACCAGCAGATGGTTAATTGTAGGTAGGAGCTTTGGGAATCAGACTAGACTAATCAGACTCCAGTTTTTTTCACTTAACAGTTGTATTGGGCAAGCGTTTTTTGTTTTAGGGTTTTTTTTGAGTCAGGTTCTCACTCTGTCACCCAGGCTGGAGTGCAGTGGCACAATCATAGCTCACCACATCCTTGACCTTCTGGGTTCAGGCAATTCTCCCACCTCAGCCTCCCTAGTAGCTGGGATTACAGGCGTGCACCACCACTTTTGGCTACTTTCTGATTTTTTTTTTGGTAAAGACAAGTTCTCACCATGTTGCCCAGTATAATCTCGAACTCCTGGGCTCAGGCAATCCTCCCTCCTTGGTCTCCCAAAGTGCTGAGATTACGGGATTGAGCAACTGTGCCTAGCTACTGGGCAAGTTATTTAACATCCTAAGGCTCAGTTTACTCACCTGTTAAACAGGGCTAGAACTTTTATAAGAAATTTGGTAATCTAAATAAAATGTCATTTACAATGGCTGGCACATGACAGTTATTCAAAAGTGTTATATTTTCTCCTCACTACTCTCCTTTCTTATTTAACTCATCTTTCTCATTCAGTATGCATTCAGCACACCAGTTACCTTTTAAATCAAAAGATCTACTCATGTCAGTCTTTGGTTAAAAAAAAAAAAAAAAAAAAAAAGCAAAAAGCAAAACTTTACACGAATTCTTATTGCCTATATGACAAAGACCACATCTTTAGTATGACATTAATGACCCTTTAGAAATCTATCTCCAAGTCGGGCTCGGTGGCTCAGCCTGTAATCGTCGCGCCTTTGGGAGGCTGAGGTGAATGGATTGCCTGAGCCCGCGGGTTCGAGACCCTGCCTAGGCAACTTGGTGAGACCCTCATCTCTACAATAAATCAAAAATTAGCGGTGGCTGGGAGCGGCCACTGCACTCCAGTCTGGGCGACAGAGTGAGACTCCAACTGAAAAAAAAAAAGAAATCTATCCCCAAACTTTCTTCAGTTTACAAACTCACCACTCACTATATAACCAATATACCTACAGAAGTTTCTATTGTCAAACCTTGGTCTCTTTATTGTAGCCACCTTGGTCTCTTTATTGTAGCCACCCCATTTTCAAGGTTTTCCCCCTTTCATTTCTAGCTGATGAAATCATACTTATATTTGCAAATGTTTTCCCAATAAATCCTAATTTCTTGGAAGCAAATAATCCTCCTTAACAACTCTCTTATTAGTTCACTCGCCAAATGTTTATTAACTGAGAACCATGTGCTGTGCTAGGTGCTAGAGTTACAAAGACTGGCCTATGCCCTTCCCAAGTATGCAGTCCGGTTAGAAAAATGGGCATACAAACAATTCCAGTAGTGGGTGTGACTGGTGGAGAGGACAGAGCAGTAGCTCCACATTCTGGTTACCTATTAGAATTCCTATAACTGATTTTTTAAAAATGCTAAAGCCTGGGTCCAACTGCCAAAGATCCTAATTTAATTGATCTGTAGTACATTTAAAAAATAAAAATAAAAAAGCTCCTTTGACCTCGTTATGTGAAGTGACTGTTGCAAGCCTCTGGAACACAGCTGTACGCAGAAGACTATGGAACATGGGAGACATACCTTGTCACTGGCACTTCTGGTTGCTCCCCAACATCCTATCTGCCTTATCCTTCTTTCCCAAATCTACTCAGGTGCACACTCCTCCTCCAAGTGACTTGGGAGACACTGCCCTATTCCTAACTCAGAGGTAGCTTCTGATCGGTTTAGGTACAGGCAAAGGACTTCATTCTGAACAAGGACACATGAGGGGAGGTTGACTGCGGGAAGGTGGGAAAAGGTTTCATAATCCCTAGAAAAATGTACCAGGAAAGAAGGCTTTTACTGCCTTTGAACACTGCTTTGTCTGGCTATGACATCTGGAAGTATGAAAAGAGCCACCTGGGGGCAGAACTGAGATCTGAAGAAAAGCTGGGTTTTTGTTGACACCATTAAGTCACTGCATCAAACAACCCACCTGTGCATTTCCTGATGTATGAAATAATAAATTTTCTAGTTGTTTATGCTACTTTGAGTGAGAATTCTGTTTACCTGCAACAGATGTCATCCCAACTGATATACAACAAATTCAAATTTGGGGATCAAGGAAAAGAGCCCAGAGAAAGTGATATCTGAGAAGAGTCTTTAGCAAAACAGTCAAGAAGCAGGAAAAGCAAATAAAAAGTCATGAATATAAAAGTATAAGATGTTCTGGGAACTTCACATAATTCAGAATGGCCACTGCAAAGAGTATGATCAGAAAGACGAGGCTGGAGGGGTAGTGGTCTGGGGCAAGAACTTGAGGAGCCTTGTATGCTGTGGTAGATTAAACATGGCCACAAATTATTCACAGCTCCTTTTATCAGGAAGCATAGTCTATTTAAGCATTCCATGAATCTGGCTGGCTTTGTGGCTTGCTTTGACCAACAGTACTTGTCGAAAGTATATTATTCAAACTCCAGAGCCGAGGTCTGCCTCTCTTGAAATGCTGCCCTGAGGCTGCCATGCTGTAAGGAAGGCAATTGAACCTACTGAAGGATGAGAGGCTAGGTGGAGGAGAAATGGACAGCCAGCACTGACTGCTAGGCATGTGAAGGAGGAGACCATCTTGAACCATGCAACTGTTTCAGCCATCATCTGACTGCAAATAAGCCCAGCCAAACCATTATAATCATAAGAAGTAATGCATCACTGTTGGAGTAAGCCAGGAGACTTACGGTGGTTTCTGACACATAGCCATGCCGAGACATTCAGACTTTATTGTGAAAACTATGAGCAATCACCTGATTAAATCACATTCATATGTTAGACAGATCACCCTGGTAGTATCATGGAGAGTGGCCTGGAATAGGGCCACAGTGGAGGCAGAACAATTTGTTAGAAGACTATTACATTGATGGAGCTGAGAAATCTGGATCTCAAGTAAGACAGTGGCAGTGGGAAGGTAGAGAAGAGTTATGATAGAGGTAAAATCCATATGACGGCGAACACAGGTTAAAGAGTATAAAGGAGAAAAATGAACTAAGAGTTACTCAAAGGTTTTTAGATTACACAAGTGAATGACAGTGCAATTCACTAAAAGAAAGACTATGGAAGGAAGGGAAGGTTTGAGTACTAATGTACAGCAAAGAGTTTTGAATACTCAATGTTTGATGAAGACATTACTGATTAATCTGGTTGGGAATCAAAATGTTCCAGTCCAGGAACCATTTTTATATGGAATAAATTGAGTACTCTGTAAATCAAGTAACGTTTCTTTTTTTTTTTGAGTCAGAGTCTTACTCTGTGGCCCTGGCTAGAGTGCAGTGGCACAAACATGCCATCACAGCCTCAACCTGCTGGGCTTGGGCGATCTTTCTGCCTCAACCTTCAAAGTAGCTGGAACTACAGGCAGGTGGCACCAAGCCTGGCTAATCCTTTAATTTTTTTGCAGAGATGAGGTCTCATCATGTTGCCCAGGCTGATCTTGAACCCCTGGGTTCAGGCAATTCTCTTGCCTCTGCCTCCCAAAGTGCTGGAATTATCGGCATAAGCCATGGCGCCTGGCCAATTCAAGTAAAGTTTTAACGGTGTGAGCTCATTTTATTGACATTTCATCATAATCAAAAGGAAAGGAAAGGTAAGATTTGGTGCAATACAAAATGCTAGCAAATCCACACATTGTTTAGCTTATATGAATTTATCTGTAATTTTCAGGGAACACTACTAGTACACAATGTTCCTACCTAAAGGCTCTATCATTTCTTAGTGCATCCAGCGGGTAAGCTCTATATACAAGTTCTTTTTTTTCTGTCCTGCAGATTCTTTCTATGCCTCCCACCCTATAGAGCAAGAAGGAGCTTCCCTAACTACATGCTAGAGAGAGTTGAGACTATCTTCATGTTATATATTTTGTCAAGTGAGTATAAACTATGATGTATCAGTGTAATTACAGAGGTTACAAACAATTTTAATATGCATATGTAAATAATGACTTACCTTTGATGTTGATTAAAATAGCAAGTAAATGGCTGAGAACCAATCTCATCTTTCCAGTATTGTTGCCAGTTCATGACACTTTCCAAGTTCTTCTGATTTTCTCTCTTACAGGGAGGGATATATGAGCACTAACAAAACAGAACACAGAAAGTAAACCTATTATTCTATAGAATATTAAAATATAGTCATTTTTTATAGAGAGATAGCATTATGCAGACAGCAAATCTAATTTAGACCTACCAAAATTTTAAATACAATCAAATTGAGATTGCCAAACTATTTCAACTTTTCAATTTGGCACAATGACAGAAAATATTCCAATAACAAAAATAGAGCCAAAAAATAAACTTCAGCCATTAGTGTATGAGGATATTTTATAAGTAATTAGTTACAATCTAATAGCAAATTAAAAGCATAATATGCTCTCTCTTTTGTGGTGTCTGCCAGCCAACAGAGAGGGGTAAAAAAAAAAGGTAAATTTCATTCCTAATTTCTATGTAAGAACCTTGGTATTTTCCTCTTCTACTTTTAACTAACAAATCAAGCACATAGCTCTTCTCAGGATACTGCTGTTCTTCACTGCTGAAGAAGTTTTATTTTCTTGGACAGTGAAATTGGTGGAAAATTTCCTTTCAAGTACATAATCAATGTATTTTGCTAGCTGGTGCCTTATCCTGGCCATGCTTCTGACAAAGTAGTTCTCTTAAAGGAATGCCATTACTCTCAGCAATACAGATACAGAAGAATTGGAAAACTGCTCTCAACTCCAGATGTTAAAGTGAACCCTTTGCATTCTAATCCATTCTTTTTCAATCCAGTCTTTTATAATGATGATGAAAATGATGCCAACTTACATTTATTGAGTGTTCACAATGTGGCAGACACTGTAATAAATGCTTAACGGCACTTAACTTGTGCACGTCTTTCAATAACACTGTGATGATCTTCATTTTACAGATGAGGGAATTGAGATTTTTGTCAGCTCTACAACTAGAACTAGATTCTGATGATTTTATCACATTCTATTCATAGATGTTTTACCAAGATATCTGATATTAAAAAGCAGCAACAACAAAAAAAACTTTACAGGATAATTTGCGTCACATTGTTTAATTTATAGCATAACATTTTTCAATGCCTTCTCATTATTTTCTGCTACAGTTCAAACTTTTCAGCATGATGTACAAAGTCCTTTGTGATCTGGTCCCTGCCTGTCCTCACCCTCACTGAATCCTGGCATGCAGTCATGTACAGAAGAACTTGTTCCCCAAATCTGCTGCTTGCTGTCATACCTACCTGCTTGGCACAGCTGTACTCTCCCCTTTGGATGCCCTTTGTTCCTTAATCTCCTTCTTTCAAGATTCAAGTCTGGTGTTGCCTATGGGGGGAGCCTTTTCTTTCTTCACAGTTAAGTACCCTTCTTTGTGCTTCCATGGGATTCTTATCACATCATATGACAGCTAGGAACACACAGTGTCACAGTCTGTTTTATGTCAGCCTCCCCAGTTTGCTGGCAAGCTGAAAACAAGAACTGTTATTCTTTCTTTTCTCTCTTTTTTTTTTTTAGATTAGAAAATATACTGTATTTAAAAGTAAATGAGAGAGAGAGAGAGAGAGAGAGAGAGAGAGAGAGAGACCACACCCCAAGGTGAGGGAGGGGGCCAAAGCCAGGAAGCATAGCAACAGTCATAGCTCAAAGAGCACATGACCACATCAGAGTCTAGCAAAGCGATGGCCCTTTCTTTTCTATATTTTCACATTTACAAATATGTTTAGTAACAATGAGGTTTCAAAGATGCTGGATGAACTAATTAATAACACATGTAGAATAACACAAATTGCCACACAATTCACAATAGCAAAAATATGGAACCAACCCTACTGCCGATAGAAAGTGAACTAAAGAAAATGTGGGTAGCCCGATGCAGCGCTCATCCTTTTCAATCTGCCATCTGCAGTAAAACCACTGACAAGATGCAGATATTCATGAAAACCCTTACAAGAAGACCATTACTCTCAAGGTTGAACCCTTGGATACTATAAAAAATGTAAAGGCAAAGATCCAGGACAAGGAAGGAATTCCTCCTGATCAGCAAAGACTGATTTTTGCTGGCAAGCAACTGGAAGATGGACATATTCTGTCTGACTACAACATTCAAAAGGAGCCTACTTTTCACCTTGTGTTGAGATTTCCTGGTGTGCTAAGAAAAGGAAGAAGTCTTACACCACTCCCAAGAAGAATAAGCATAAGGAAAAGAAGGTTAATCTGGCTGTCTTGAAGTATTAGAAGGTGAATGATAATGGCAAAATTAGTTGCCTTCGTTGGGAGTGCCCTTCAGATGAATATGGTGCTGGAGTTTTTATGGTCAGCCATTACTGTGGTAAATATTGTCTGACCTACTGCTTCAGCAAACTAGAAGACAAGTAATTGTGCATGAGTTAGTAAAAAACATGAACTAAAAAACAGAAAAGAAAATGTGGTACATATGCACGATGGAGTATTACGCAGCCATAAAGAACAACAAAATCATGGACTTTGCAGCAAACTAGATGGAGTTGGAGACCATAATACTAAGTGAACTATCACAGTAAGAAAGAACTAGGCACATTAGCACAAGGGAGGGATCAGCAGTCACTGGGCACTGCTAGAGGGAGGGAGGGAACAGGTTGAGAGAGACATGTGACAACACAAAGGGTACTTGGTTCATTACCAGGGAGAGTGAGGATCAGTTAGAAGGCCAAACTTCACCTGCAAGCAGCCTATTTATGTAGTTAATCCTCACGTGTACCCCACATTCCTATAATAAAATAAAATTTTTAAAAAATGTTGGTTGAACTAATTAATAACACATGTAAATACATTTATGTTCAAGATAATGAAGTTATTTTCATTGTTTAAACAACTTAAAAATAAATAAACACATCTTAAATTTGGTTTAAAATAATAGTAATTTTTCTATTATATATAACAAATTCAAACATGTTATGCAAGTATTATTTTGACTGAATCACTAAATGTTTATCTTCTGCCCATACAGTCCCACTTCTAATAATAACAGTAACATAAAGCTAAAATTTTCTGTAAAATTATGGATTTTGAGTTCTTCTCAAGCAGCAGTTAGGCTTAGAAGCAATGGGGACCACTGGATAGGCCCCCAGTCCCATTATCTGTTTCATGTTTGGCCTTGGGCAAATTACTTCCCTTCTCTGGACTTGGTTTTTTTCGAATCTGCAAAATCTCCAAAATAATTTCTGCCTCTACATTTCTGATTCTATTCTTGGAGGCACACCAAGAAAGAATCCAGCAGAAGGCAGGACTACAAACACTGTTGCAGTATTTTTCCCAGAAGAGATCCTGCCCACTGGGGAGATGGCTGGGAACCCTGACTAAGGCAGCATTCCAGTCAGCAAAGAGGAGGAGTGTGGTAGGTCCTTTCTTAAGGACCTGTGCTTTGCATTAGAAAAATGTTCCTAAGGGACCATGATTTTCCATTTCTTTCTGCCTATGACATGTTGAATATTTTCTTTCTCTCTATTAAGATTTTGTTTTCTTCCTACATCATGGTCAATTAGCTTATAAAGTGAAAGTAGGTTTCAATTTATTATGCTCTTTCTAGGACGGAGAAATTTCCAGATTTGGAGGTAGAAGCCTCGGAGTGTAAATACCTAACAATTCATCAGAGGCCTTTTTGCAACGGGTATACTTTACACAAAAAGTATACTAAACATTTTAAGGAATAACAATGGAAAATCATATGCAATTAAAGCAGATTTAAAATATTTGCAAGTTAATGCAGTTCTAATTCTCTATTTTTCAGTTTTCTGGTGGGGGGAGGGGAATGGGCTTAAAAGAAATGTCTCTCCCAAATATCAACTCTTAAGATTTGACCAGGAGATTCACACCTACAGGCTTCTGAAAAAGTCAGACAAAAACTCGCCTCCCCAACAATCATTTTTATTGTTTAAAAGAATGCATATGCCAAAAGACAAACTGTTTGGATTCAAAGGGCAGTGAACTCATGAAAATAAATTCCTAGTAAAAGTGATTCAATCTTCGGATTTAGCTTTTAACACAAAAAAATTAATTAACATTTGCATTATGAGACCTGACCTACCCAGGGAAATATAATCAATTCTCTCAATACAAGATGGATTCTGCAGAGGACATAATTTTTAATTGTGGTACTAATCAATCATAGATAAAAAATTTCATTGAGTATAGAAGGTTTTGTATTAGGTATATTGAGGTTTCATTTGAGATTTAAAACAAATGTTTCTTGCTTTTTGAAAACTTTGAGGTTTTATGCGTAGATGTTGGAAGCAAAATACTTTTTAAAGAGCACTTTTTACACTAAAGAAAATAACATGAGATTGAAATTTAAGTATTATTTTCATAAACAGCATTTTCCCCAAAGAGTATAGATTAAATAATTTGTTCATAATTACAACTAATAATTATTTTTTAAGCTAATATTGCCTTGAAAGAAAATTCTTTAAAAGGCTAAATTTTATGTTCTTTAAAATCATTATGGCTCTTTTTCTTTATTCACCAGTCAATTTGTCTTTAAAATTTCTGTGACGCCTAATACAGATCATCCCCAGATTCCGTTTCAGTTCTACAGTGGATCACTGTAGATTGTCAGAATTTTAAAATAAGTTAGAAATGAAAATTCAGAGCAGTGTTCTAGAAACTTAGGAAATTCAGACAACTTCCTTTTCTTCCTAGGTTGTTCAAGTCTGATGGCTTTCCTGGCTTCATAATAGTGATAACTATTTATAACCATAAATAACTCTCCTTTGAGGGGGAACAAAAAAGAATCCATACATATCATCATCATCATGGTAAACACTGACTATATCTCATTAATCCAAATGAGCAAGTATCATAAATCACCCCCATTTTCTGATAAGAAAATTGTGGGAGAGAGGAACATAAGAAAACTTTCCCAAGGTCACAGTGGCCAATAGAAAAGTTGCGATTCAGACTGCAGAGTGATCTTGACCCCCACTCTACACTGCCTCCCACATCTCTATCTTTAGGGCTTCCTAGGTTTTACTCCCTGCTTTGGGGCAAAGAGACGTCCTGCCCTCTGCATCCCTATCTTGGAGAACCAGTATAATGTTTTTA